TGCTTATTATTGCTTTCGCATTTATAATATTAGTATAGATTTAACTGCAATCTGGAAACCAAAATAGGTATATACCGTTTTTCTTGCAATTATTGACGTTTGGAAAATACTTTACCAGAATAATTGGATTTATTAAAGTTTCATTATATTTGAGATCCTTTGAGATCATTTGTTATTTAAATTCGTAGAAAGTTTTGCAATGAAAATGATAAAAATAGAACTATCCGTCTGGTCATTGCAGATTCATTTTTCCAGGTAAAGTTTTTCTCTTGTTTAAAAAACTTGTTCAAAAGGATGAAGCGTACACTGTGTGGGACTGTAGGTGTACCTACATAGTTAAAAATGTTTCAAATTGAAATGTTTCCTCGTATTGAACGTGGAATGGAGTTGAATAAAATATTTCAAATTAGTACAGGTATATTATAAGTGATTGATTTACATATATGTATTGTTAATCATATCTACTTATTAATTAATAATAATAATAATAAAACTTTATTTGTAGCCAATTACAATTGTGCATAGACAAAATGAAACGTTAATGACTGCAGTAGTCAAAGACTGTGTCGCAGTCATTAGCGCCTTCCTCTAATACAGACGCTATAAATAAACAATTTAGGTTACTAATAAATAACTTAATACTTATTTAGCTTTAACTGAATACCTACATGAATTGAATATGAGATGAACTTACAATAACAAAAGAAAACCAACATGTGTGTGTGTGTGTGTGTGTGTGTGTGTGTGTGTGTGTGTGTGTGTGTGCTTGAGAAGCCACTCTGTTATTTTTTTCTTACAGTGATAACTATTTAAGGAATAAATATTTAATTCTTTATTTATTTTATTATAAAGGAGTGGAGCTATATAATTGTACTGGTGCTTTACAAGTTCCAATCTACAATGAACCGTCTGACACACCCTATCTTTCCTCCTTTTGTTTATTACTATATTAGGGTTATAATTGACAGTCCTATGTTTGCGTAGAGTAGCATTGAGAATGAACAGTTTTCGCACTGATAGAACTTCCCAGAATTCGTAAATCATCTTAGTAGGGTATCTGATTGGTTTAGAAGCCATAACCTTCAGGACGGCACGTTGGGCCCTCTCAAGTGGTAATAACTTAGTTTTACCGGTGGAACCCCATACTGTGATGCAGTAGTTAATAATGGACTGTGCAAGGGCAAAATAAGCAGTTCTTAGAGTAAGTGGATCAGCACTAGCCCTCAATCTACTAAAAACGAAAATAAGTTTTCTAACCCGCGCAGTAACGACCCTAAGGTGTTCGTTCCATGATAAGACGCTATCAAGTAACACTCCAAGGTACTTTATGCTATGAGTACGTGATATCGTCTCACAATGACATGGGTCAAATTCAGGGTTAGTTAAACATTTGTGAGCTTTTATTTGAAATGATTCATCTGGCTGAGTGGAAAGCTTAGGGGCAAAGGTCATAAATTTTGTTTTGGTTAAATTTAGGGTAAGTAGATTGCCAGTCAACCAACTCATCACTGATTTTAAAGCAGTCTCAGCAATTGTTGAAGCATGTTTCTAAAAGAGCTGTAATTAATAACTACGGTTACTTGTTCTCTTTTAAAGCAAGAACACGTACTATAAATGGAAGAGTAAGTGGTTTGTAATCAGATTACTTTCAAAGTTACTTTATAACGTTATACAGTAAGAGCGCCTAACTCTTATTTTTACTAACATACAATATTTCTACGGTAAATTCTTTGCATAATAAATGAGGAAACCATAATCTTATGAAATGTTTTCCCATTAAACAAGTCAAACAAACGGTGCGATAGGGAGCAGTCCATTAAATTTCGTTTGTCTACACATAACGTTTGTAAGGGCCAAAATCCCTAGAGAAATTTTAACGGACTTGTACGAAAATATTCATGTTTCAATCTTCGTGAAAGGCTTGTTTGTTAACCTAAGGTTTTTATCCTTTTATTTTAGTGCTCATTCAGTTTCAGGGTAAACAAATTTTGGAGGTGTTGATTTGTGTAGCCTTAAGTACACTTTCGAGGGATTTATTGTGATCGTGGAATGGTGTTTACCGGGAAAATTTATAAATTTTCTGTTATTAGTTACGTCGACGACTTGTTTACCGAGACTTAAAACAAGCAATGCATACTATTACTTTATATTTTCCTTAGCTAAAATACTGGCTGTAATTTTATTGTAATTAAACTCCTAGTTACGACGAAAATTTCTGTTTGATGGGGCGTTGTTAACATCTTATTATCTACTGTGATTATTTAAGCAATTACCTAATTGTACAATCCACATTTCCCCTTGAATAGACATTTCAATATTTTTGAAATCAATCAATAACACTGTCGAGTCGTTACTTCATAAAACACTCCGATTTTTAGGGCGAAATTTCAATATTTATTCAGGATCTGGTACCCTTCCGATTTCCATCAACGCTCCACCGATTCGTATCCGAAAACTCGGAAAAAAATTCCGCAACTTTTGGAACCACTTTGTTTCAATTGAGTTTGTGCGATACCCTAATTTTTGGAGGTATTTAAGGCTTCACTACTCAAGACCAAAAAAGTTGTCTAACTAATGTTTTGGGCGCGTACTAAATCCTATTTCCAATTTCAGTGAAGTTACAAAAGTTTTTACTAGTGATAGCTAGGAATTTGTAGTTGCCATTTTCAACAGGTAATCAGCTCTCGATAATCTTACTAGGATCTACTCGATACTTTCTTATTTCTTTCATGTTAGGCGAATAAAAAAGGAGTATGTACTTAGTTGGCCAAAAACTAATATCAAAGTGCGACGGCACTTCAGTCACTCGTCAGTCGATTGATCTATTAATAAAGATGTAATAATTCCTAATCATTAAACTGCATTCTATGAAGTTATAAACCTTATAAACGCTTCTTGAATTCAATCAGCGACAGTGACGACAATAAAACGGCAAGTAGACTCGTAGTTTTGTTCTTTCTGGTACATATTTGAATCTGCCTTAAATAGACACTGAATGAACGCCGAGACGCCCACGACCGCAGAGCTTCGCCTACGAAATCGGATAGCTAAATATATTTAACTCCTTGAGACCATAAAAATATTATATTCATACGGAAAAACATTCGAAAATCAAATAAGTTAAGCCTCTGACACACTATTCTTTCCCGATTGTACAGTTTGTCAGTACGTTTAAAACCACATAAATACATGCATAAAATCCAATACCGTACTGCAAACTCTGAAATATAGAAAATTCATTACTGTTTGCTGACCCGTAAAAGTTCTAGCCAAATATTGTTTATTACACACAACTTTGTTATTAACTTTGTGGCGGCTTTTGTGCTATATTATTATTAACTTTGTGGCCATGAGACATATTGCTTTTTTATTTTCATGATATTAGGAATATTGGATTACAATGAACATGACAATAATAATATCGGTGTGTTAAATTATCATGAAATACTTAATTACATCTGAAGTAAATGACATTGTGAACTGATGTTTAATTAATAATACCGGCACAATTAGTTGGAAATAAATTATAGAGACTTATGTAAAATGTTAGTGAGAATCAGAAATATTCTCACATTCACGTGGACTCGACTCTGCATGACACTTATTGTTAGTTTAGTTAGAAGACGGTTGCGAATCGCAACTTGCAAAGAACTCAAAATCATTTAATTTAATCAACTTTAAGCAATTGAAAATCATAATTTTAAATCGTAGTTAATAAATGTCTCATGACCTTTAAAATCTCTGTTATTTATAAATAATTCTATATAGGTCAGAAGGTTGTTTAAAATCATCTTAAAACTTCTACGTAAAGTTACTCGTCCGTGAGACAGTTTCACAATAAATATAATCAGTGAATCTGCTTTAACACAATTTGCTTCTAATCAGCAAGATATCTTTTTTTTCTCTAAAATACCTTTTGCCCTTTTCAAACAATTTATCATACCGATGAACCAATAACCAATAATGTTTTACAAGAATTAAGCTATTATGATCTCTAAACATAAGGATTATTATACTTTGTACTCTTCTGGCGATGTAACATGTTATTTTATTTATAACATCAACGTCATACATACTCTGCTTGATGATAAGTAGATTTTTTAGTCATCAAATCTGTATAAATAATTAATGAACATTATTAACACGGGATCTTGAGGACGTGGTTTTGTAAGGCTTAGGGAAATGAACAGATCACATGAAATAACATTAATTTCTAAGCTTACATAATAACATGGTTTGTAAAATGTTCAAGTTTTACCGCACTGAAACTTGTTTGAAGTTAAAGGATCACCCTGGTTACTATGATAACGTAAACATTCACATTAATTTATACTCTAAGGATGGATTCGACCAAACAAGAGTAAAAAATAATCTCAGAATAAATCGTCAGTTATTTGACATTTTGACATATTTCCCATACTGAAACTGTCAATGTGCCAGTTATATCAAGAGTTATTCTTGGATAAAAGTTTGGTCGAATCGGGTCTAAGTAAGTATTATAGGTATAAAAATGAGAGGATAGATTACACTTGGCCCGATTGGTAGCTGTTTTACATTCGGTCTTGGCAGGATGATCGCCATTATCACACTTATCTATTGACCCAATTTCGGTCGCTAACCCCTCTTCGCCCGGCTTGTATTTCATTAAATTTATACTGGCGCGGCGTTATCCTGCAAACGAAAAATATGATTAAATCAAGGAAATAAAATATTTTTCCTTAATCAATGTAAGCTAATGCTACCTATAATCCAAAATTACATTATAATATTGATGTAGCTTAGTAAAATGTGATGTCCCACTATTAAATAGCGGCAAGGTTTTGCGCAAAATATCCAGGTCATATGTTTTGTGTAAATTCTGCGGGCCACAAAAAGGAACATTAATTTCGCTATCTGATATTGAATTATGTGGTGGGTGTGCTAGGTGACGTTAACCCTTAGCGGACGGCGCGGGCTCAATGTACCCGAGCGAATGATTTATAACCTCTATTATTTCGCAGGTCGGCCTTCGACAACGTGAAGAAGACGAAAGTCGCCATTAAGAAAATATCGCCATTCGAACACCAGACATACTGTCAAAGGACGCTACGAGAAATCAAAATTTTGACCCGGTTTAAGCATGAAAATGTAAGTATGAAATGTGAATCTTTTTTTTAATAAATCTGGCCTAAATAAAACCCTCTTTATGTTATCATATTAAATTAATTGACTCTATCAAAATATTTTTTAATTGCTAGAAAATTCATGTAACATTTAAGGGAAATCTATTTGACATAGTAAAGTCATGTTTTGTTTTCAGATTATTGATATACGGGATATTTTAAGAGCAGAAACTATTGATCAAATGAAAGACGTCTACATCGTACAGTGCTTAATGGAAACGGACCTCTACAAATTGTTAAAAACACAGGTTGGTGGAAATATTTTATACGATAATCCTTTTTAAAGGGTTCTATTAGACCTTTTTTGCAGTGAACCTAATTCAACCACCTAAGGCATTGTTTTCGTGTTATAGCCATCGTACCCTCATCACATAGTTAAGGGGCCACAAATAGGCCATCAAGGATTTATGGACACCGCCATATTCTTAGGTTTATCGGCCATGAAACCTTAACTTGTCGTCGGCTCAAGTTTCTTAAAGATATAAAGAAGTTTTTGATACAATTTTATATTTCTAATCACTTGGTGTCAGGCTTTAAGATCTACTTTCACTTTTAATGTGACCTTTTTGTAAGCTAGTGTCCTAATTTTAGTTGGCGGTAATGTAGCGAGCGCTCGGGGCATGGTCGTTTTAATTTTATTTCGCCAATGGCACTCGACACCATATGTTGCGTTGCGCACACACACATGACAATTTTTCAACAGTGTTCATGTTAATTACATTAACGCGATGTAACTGAATGAAATGAGTGTACTTATGAATATGAAGCCAGTGAAATATGAAGTTTTAAAGCTGAAGTAATTTCTCAAAACAAAGTAATTGCCGTCAGGGAACAAAAGGCGAGCTCAACCTCTTTGTTATCGTTTTCAATATTAAGAAAATGTTCGCGAAGTACTTCTATAAAACTCCACTTGCGCTTAGGAAACAAAACATAATGGAAAGGAATTGATTAAGCCCAAAATTCTGCAGTGGATAAAAGATTTGTTTGGCATAGAGTTTATAGAACGATGTTCATTTTAGATAACATTCAATTGATTCTTAGGAAATTAGCTTTCTCATTGTTGGGACGGCTATTATTGTTTGTTCATAACAATGTCAGGTTAAAATTTATTTGTTTGTTCCAGAAATTAAGCAACGATCACATCTGTTACTTCCTATACCAAATTCTGCGAGGGCTCAAGTACATTCACTCGGCGAACGTTCTGCACAGAGATCTTAAGCCCTCCAACCTATTACTGAACACCACCTGTGATTTGAAGGTATGTGTTGTTTTATTAATTAAATTAATTAAAATGCGCGGCCAATTTGAATCCCGTAATTTGACAATACGCAACGTGTGTATATGGATGATATTGTAATTAAAATTTGAAGAATCGCGCTCATAAATCCTTTGTGAGTTTCAGCAGTTTTCATTCCTAAGCTTAGCTACTAATCTTATTTTAATTATACAGTTGTAATTAATTAGCAACTTACACATTTGTCTCAGAAACCAAAATTGCTTTTCATATTAAATATTCTTAACTTGAGAAATGTTTTCAATTTATTCAGCAATAGTTGCTACGTTAGCAATCGAAGAATTAACATCTTGTCAGCTATAATGGTTTATTGATCAATTGATTTTGTATTTATAGATATCGTTTCTATCTACTCTCGACGATACTTTAAAGCAATCTTGTAACTTGAATCAGTTTCAGACTTTGATGCCTTAAATATTTCCATAAATCAAAACTTCTGTGAAACGAATAATTTGCTTCTATCTATGTTGAGCGATTCACTGTAACATTTGTTATTAAAACGAACGCTTTATGTTTTATTAATATTTCATCTTGTAATTTGGTCCTTATTTGTTATTGATTAAGGCAGCCTTTAACAGTAATTAGAGGGAGCTAGCTTCTTGGGGGGTTGTCAACCTGAGACAAGACTTGATAAGACATAATTTATTTACAAAAAGAAACCTTTTATCTACGCTGTATCTTATTCCTCCGAGATTTGCTAACTTAGGTTCAACAAATAATAACTTAGAAGTAAATATGATTTTTCCCTTCGAGAAATACAACAGAGGATTTCTGTTTCTTTGTTTTTGAATCGTAAATTGTATTACAATTTCCTTAATATCACTAGCGTAACATAATTATGTTTCTGCTTGAACATTTTATGACATCGTTAATATACGATGTAACGTGTGAAATTAGTGTAGTGAATTCATTTACAGTTGTCAACACATCCAGACTGGGTAGACATTGTTGCAAAAGTACACCTATATCAACCACAGAAGGTGCCAGCTAGGTAGCTTGATGTATCGTGTACTTGCATAACAATTTACCTCCCTCAAAATCCTCTTGATATCCTTGACATAGTCGCGGCGAGTGAGGAGGGTCACAGTACCCTCATCTTAACGCCTTAAGTGCGCTCAACTAAGAAATATGATATTCTAAGTACTTCCTAAAACACATATAATAATATAATAAAACAGTGTAATATGCGTTCGTATGTAGGTCTTAATTCCCTAGTAAGTGGTAAATCGTGTTCCCCGACGTATATCATAAAATGTACGGAACTTGAACTAACTTTTGCAGCGAGCAAGTAGCTAACAGTTTTCCGATAATGCTTTTGTTTTTGATACGGCTTAATAAACTACGCCGGAGGGGGGAAACTTGTTTATCGGAAACGTATTGTTGACATTTTAAAGTTGTTTAATCTATCTTTATCTTTTATTGCTTTAAAGTGCTTGAGCACTCAGTTATGTAAACGACTAACTTTTGCCCTCGGCTTCGGCGTGAATTTCGTCTTAGAAAATTACTTTTGTGACTCGTAAACTTACTAAAACAAATCGTAAGTTTTGGTAGGTATGGGATGATGGTAATATAATTTGAAAATGCTCCATGAAAAGTACCTAACTGTGGTGTAGATGCATCATAACGCGTCACAAACACGGTCGTAAAATCAAGTGTTCTGTAGTAAGTATTCGTTGTTTCTCATAAAGTCATAAATATGTTTTTCTAATAAGCTACTTTCCTGATTCTTTACTTTACTTTGTTGATATCATTGCTTCTCCATACAAAGATTTATCCTGGGTAAGTCCCATTATTATCAAAAGTACGCGTGAAAATGTAAAAGTCAGACTGAACTCCTTTCGTATTTTTATAAAATAACTTTGAACTGACTAAAACGTTAAATATTGTCATAAATCGCATATTAGCGAATAAGAATCCCACAATATTATCTCCAGCCGCCCGTGATGCTGTAATATGATAAATGTCTATCGGACGATTCCTTTCACTTTCCCTTATAAATCAAGAAGAAGGAGCTTCTAAATCGAATGATTTATGGACAGATATAAAGCAATACGTTAGGTATTATTATAAGCAGTAAATAAATAGCTGGAGTTGAAATGTATAAAGTATCTTCGAGAAACTTCTACGTACCGAAAATTCACGTAGTTTTGCAAGAAATAAAAAAACATCAAAAAATAATGTCAAATTAATTAAAGAAACATTAAATTCTAATGGCACAGCAACGCGTACACCAATTATTTACAGCGTGTAAATAATAAAAGAAGAAGAAAAACAGTAAAACCATTAATACAGGATAACTCACATAAATAACACTGTTTTGTTTGGAAGGTTTTGGATACGAGTGTATGGAACTCCCAAGGGATGGAACCTACGATATTAGGCTAAAAGGAAAGGAATTGTTCGAAATAGGATTGTTTAGTTTAGTTACGTTACATTGTAAGTTACAAACTTTTGATGTTCCGTAACATTGTGTATGGTATTGATGTTAATACTCATAATATTATTTATTTAACATTTAAATATCAATAAAAAATTGAAATTTATTAAGAAAACGTGTGAAACTCATGGGGCTTTTAAAATGTAATTTTTATGCTAAATGTCAATAGAAAATAAAGTTCAACTAGTTGAACTTTGAAGTTATTCTAGAATAACTTTTTGTAATAAGGGGGACAAGCATTAATCGACAGCCCATGCTATGAGACTGTAAAATGTTTGTCGAAAAATAGCTACTATTACAACTAGATACCTTACGTTATTCATACACGAACGTCGTCAAAATATGCTATCACAAAAGAGTGTTTACTAATTTCAACTAGGTACTTACTTAAGATCTATGAATACAAATTGCAGCTTGCGGGCGTAATATGCAAATTTTTAATTATTATGGATGGTGCGTCAGGCGTGATAAATTATCGTTTGTCGCAAGAACTCTACAGAATGCACCCGAACAAACATGTTATTTACATTTTACAAGAGTGTGGAGTAAAAAATCATGTAAACGATTTTACATACAATCTGTTAGAATACTTAGAATACTTCTGACCTTGATTTTACAATAGTAATATAGACATTTATTATTTACGAGTAATGAAGATGATTACGAACGTCAAAAGAAGTTAGTAACAGAAAAAAGGAAAAACATTTAAATACCTAATACTTATCACTAACGAACGTTAAAAAAAAACAAAAGAACAATCATAAAAAATACAGGAAAAAAGTGTAGTCATTTGTTTTTTTCATTGTCCACCAGATTTGCGACTTCGGTCTGGCGAGAGTAGCGGACCCCGACCACGACCACACCGGCTTCCTCACGGAGTACGTCGCCACTCGCTGGTACAGAGCCCCGGAGATTATGCTCAACTCCAAGGTATGTTCTTCTTCTCTTTATTTTTTGTTTTTTATTTAGATGTCAAGCTGTATGTTAAGTATATTCCAGCTCCCAATCAATAATATCACGGGTCAACTTGAACAATCTCAAACAGAACACCCCTACACTAATATTATAAAGTAATTTGTTTGTTTGTTTTGAATAGTCTGTCGAAACTACTGGACCAATTTGAAAAATTCTTTCACCATTATAATCCTACATTATGTCTGATGAACATAGGCGGTACGAAGGTTTCAATTAAACAAACAATAAAAAAATATTACATTTGAAATCGATAAATAGTAAGGTCAACAAACTGTACCTACATTAAAATTTGTAGGTTGATTGACGTTCTCATTTCTACTTACATAGATGGTAGGGGAAAATGATGGGGAAACAATAGGTTAAGTCGCTCCTTCACTAACGGCCTTACATAAAATGCCTATCCTATAAATAACGTGACGTGTGATATTATCGGGAAGTTTACGTCCTTCATAAAATACCTATTTTCCTTGATTACGTTATAAAGGAAGCATTGTAAAACTCGGGGTACCTATTGTTTTGTTTGCAGTTTATTTTGTTACGTAAGCAAAAAAAGGAATTTATGTTAGGTAAAAATGCAATATCCCCGGGATTCGTCCTAAGCAAATATCCCGATAAGTAGATCATATCTCAAAGATCTAATGTGAAATCCTCTCACAACAAAGGTCAATTTGTATAGCCGTAGTTCAGGCGAGCGCCGGCCGGGTGACCCGAGGCGAATTTTCCGGAGGTACGCTTCGTCCGTCCGGCCGTGCATCCCCTCCGAGAAAACCGGGTGAAGCTCTGATTTAATAATCCGATGGACTTTCTAGCCTAGCATTCGTATTGAATTCGGTTCGCCGGACACACAAAACAAACTAGGGTAAGGTAAATCTTTGTTTTGTTCCCATTTTGGATTAATGAAAGAAAAACGCTCAGTATGAAGCAATCGAATTCCAGACCGTGTTACAATGCGCATAACTCGCATTCTAATTTCTAAAAGGCTATATTAACCAACCTCAAAAAAGAGAGAATGCTCAAACTGAACACGCGTAATTTGATTTCATCCACTACAAACGGTAGGTAGACGAATGGCATTGACAGAATAAGTGAAATACGACTTTGACCAACGACGAAGAGCAAAAGAAAGCACTGACTTTGACATATTACCATTCCACGTATCGTTTCACGACCAATTTCACGAAATGTTCTAAAATACAGCAGGTAATGTGTAAAAATCTAAACATTATTGAATTTCTGTATTGTTTTTTGCCTTTAGCTAGCCCTAAAGTTGTTTTTGGTAGACTCAGCCTTATTTCCTTAATTTATTTGTATAATACAGATCAAGCCTTCAACAAAGCGACTAAAACAATGATCAAGGTCTACAATGGTGTTTTTAGGGCTCAAGTGGAATAAACGTTGAGCAATCCTATTACGGTGCTAACTTAAGGAATTATCGACGCGGCCATTTACCGCTTTCGGCACCTTGATAATAGTGAGCTCTTTGAGATGATAATGCGATTGTTGTAAAAGGCTGTAATTTCGCGAGGAACGTAGGCAATCTACTGAGTATAAGTCGTCCAGTTGGCACGCTCCGCTGGCAAACAATACGCCCAAAGACGACTGTTAATATTCCACAACTTACCTATAGGCTATTATGGAGGCTGTATTTATTTCTTCTATTGTATTTATTTTTTGCTCCGTACTCCACTCCGGTGCGTTATTGTTAAAACCCCGCTCCGGAATATAACCTGAAGAAAATATTAAATGAGGATTATGTATTCCCCTCACACTAGCAATACAATTCTATGTTTTGTCTTTTTGCTCCTTATTCACAAAACGAATAGTTATTTGTGAACATCATAGTGTTATAAAATTATTTTAGAAAATTTTTCGATTCATAATGAGATTTTACCTAAATTAATGTGTTATCTGTACATACCTACTTACCCGTTGTTCCAAGTATCGTGGAGAAACCTCATTTGCCATTTATACAGTTGAATCCTGACGTTGATGTGCAGAAAAAGAATTCACAGAAGACTTGTACAATGAATAAAGTATGGCTTCACGTCATGTTTTCCTCTCCCAATGAGGTTGCCCGAGATATCATTTTACGATCCCCGGGGATCGCCAAACATTAACGATGCGGGGCAACAAAAATGACAAGTGTAATTTGTAAACCTCAACGTTTTATGAACCCCAAAGCGGGAAAGTGACTTTCACTTTGCGTCTTAATTTTAACGGTACAGACTAATCCAATTCAAGAACAAACTGAAATGTAAAATTAAATAATAAACACGAAGGAATACTTAAATCGCAATTTCATTTCGCTACGGTATTTCTTTGATTATTATTCAAGGTTTCTCAACTTATAAACCAAAGCTCAAGTTCTCTAAAGATTCGTTTGAGTTTTGAACATGTTAGAAGTTTTTCGTCTGAATGTTTAATAAACAATGTAGAGTTTATACGTATTTGTATACTAATGAAGTTTGTTGACGTTTTCAATGTGTATTAATGCTCATTTTTCCTTTTAATTTGGCGGAGTAATGAATTGCGTTATAGTTGTCTCCATTAGCCCTGTAAAAGGCATTGTCTGGTCCGAATGGGGAAACTTTTCAGCTTTCGCGGCATTGACAAATAGTTAGTGATAAACCGTCTCGGCTGAGTCTAGTAAACAACGTTAGTCCCAAAGTCGCCCATTTACTCTCAGTGCTTAATGATGTTTTGGGTACCGTACGGTTTGTCTTCGTTTTTCTAAAGAGAATGGATTTAAAGCAATTTTTTAGCTATTAAATCAGTGAATTTCCCTCGGGCTTGAAAAGAAACGTTAAATTTAAATTCTTTGTTGTGGGCCCTCTCCGGGGCACTTATACATCCCAGCCAAGTTAACTGCGCACTGGCAGCCTTGACGTCACATCGACGCTCTGGTATGGACGGGGCGAACGCGGGGAGGTGTGCTAGTGAGTGCGAATGAGATTCGTATCGTCGGTGCGCAGTTAGCTTGATCTGATTTTACATTTCCCAATACAGCTTGCCCTACCATTCAGGACATCACACTACATACCTGGTGCTAAGAAGTTGCGGAAGAAATACAAATTTAACTTCAAAACTGTACATTTACGGCCAGTATTTGATTGTCTTTTTTCCTTGTCCACCCAGGGCTACACCAAGTCGATAGACATCTGGTCTGTGGGCTGTATCCTGGCGGAGATGCTGTCGAACAGACCCATCTTCCCGGGCAAGCACTACCTGGACCAGTTGAACCACATCCTCGGAGTTCTGGGATCGCCCAGCCGCGAGGACCTGGACTGCATCATCAACGAGAAGGTATGGCCTTTAAGAAATAAGTACGGAAGTCTTGGGGAGTTTTTTACAAAGTTTATTTATGCACAATGTTGTTTTTGGAAGTCAGAGATTATTACTGCATATACCGATTTAAACTTTCGAATCTCTCACACGTGTGTACAGATTTTTTTTTTATTACTGACTTAACTTTTTGAGTTGATTAAAGTAAGTTACTTATCTTATTTTTGTTTTTTAACATTTCGTCTGGGACATCCTGTATACTGTCTATTCTATCATAATATAATATTTCACCATCATGAATAAATGGCAGTCGTAGTCTGCGTCTCGGTCGTAAACTCTAGACTCCAGGGTATTATCTAGGGCATACGTAATCTTAATATGAATCCATGTAGCGGTTTTCCATGTAAATCCATTTTACCATCAACTCTGAGAAGTTCCCAAAGCTATATTTGTGTTACGCTAAATTCATACCACGTTAGTGGAAACTCATTTCTACTGTTGCTAACCACCTATGCTGGTTCGCCCTCAGGTTAGACGTTACAAACTTTAACGTAAACAAGCAAGGCCTCCGGATAGAAAATATTTACTTTACCAAACACCGTTACATGAAAAAAACCTTTTATCCGAACATCGGAGGGCTTAACGGATAAGTAAAAAGAGATTATTTCACTACCCACTTCACGGTAGAGAATGTAACGTGTGACGTGAAATAACGTTCGATATCTTCTTGAATAAAAAGTACATCCATCACAATGAAGGACAGCATTTTTAACATCAGGTTCACCTTTACAAAATATTTTTCATTCTTCCTTTTTTGGTCAGTGACAACACATATTGTTGTAAGTTCAAGTTAAAATCTTTTTTCAAGTATTCCAAATATGATGAAATAAAATTGTACTAGGATTACACGACACTCATCGCAGTGAATTGATTTATTTGATTTAGCAAGCAATAAAGAAATGTGTTGATTACATTCCGCACTAGCACTACGCTCCATGCAATTGATGCAATAACATTTGCATACTTAGTGCTAACGAAGAATCTCCACTATTCACGATGTAAGTGCAAAAAGTTCAGTATTAAATATTTATCCTTGCGGAAACTGAATATTTTATCACTCTTGACACGTGTAAAGAGGTCGTTTTTATATTCCAAAAGGAGCCGAGTTAAAGCCATTAAATCGCTAAAGACCTTTTATTTTTTGTAGAATTTAGGTATTCGTTCTACCAGTTCAACGAAGTTTCTGTTATCTGATTGCTTTTTATCTTTTTCCTTTTAGTAAGTCAATGATTAATGTTCTCGTGATTAATATAATTTCTAAAAGAATACTTAATAGCAAACACACCATCACGCAGCTTACGTACGAGTATAATCATCGGTTTAACAAGGAAGAAGGTCCCGCGTTACTTGGAAATAGTTTTTTTCTTGGTAGTAGGTATTTCTTATTACGAGTAAATAGTAAGTCAGTTCTGTAGCTTTCTATCCAAAATAAATTATGAATGAAAATGTAACGTAAATGTTTGTGTCACGTGTTCACATTTTACCGGTGATTCAATTTGGTACAGTTTTGTTGAATTTTGGTACAGAGAGTTGTAGGTGAAATGAAACGTAGGAGAATTAAAGTAAATTATGATGATGAATTATGTAGATGTTTCTATGAGAAACCAATAGTTATGGTCTCTATGGTTTTGGCTTAGACTTTTTATGATAGACCGAAAACATAGACGAAGCAACGAGCAAACGCTAAATTGACGCCAAAAGCCAAAAGCCTGCCAAAGATTTCCTCAACGACCGGTCTTGGACTACCCGCATCCAGGTGTTTCCCGCGAACTTCCTTAGATCGTCGATCCACCGAGTGGGAGGCCTGCCTACACTACGTTTTCCGGTCCGTGGTCGCCACTCAACAACTTTTCTGCCCCAACGGACATCAGTTTTACGTTAATCCCGGAAAGATGCGTCTTTGTAGCCCGCCCTCTACCACTTATTTACAAACAAATATCGTTATGACGTTTATATCGTTCGCTTAATTGCGTGACGTAATTTATCATGTCATCGCTAGACATGTCACATGGCGCGCGATAGTAAGCCTTATTTTTTGTAAGATAATCCCTCCTGAAGGTCCATTTTCCTACGAGAAGAATCCGGCTTTAGGCTTGATCGCGTCACTCCATTTCCGGGCTGAAGTGGAATTGAAACACATTTTTATTTATAATGTGATATTTCAGGAACAAAAGATTTATTTGTGGACTTGTGGCAGACAATAATAAAATATTCAATATTAAATTTATTATTGTTTAAACTGGCATTTCCCGCAAGTTAGTACACGTGGACATTATCCAGTCAAGCCCGCAGGATTAGAAAGAAAGAAAGAAAGAAAGAAAATATTTTATTTGGCCCAACATATTAAATTATTACAGTATACAGTTTACAATACTTGCACATTTGTGGACCAAAATGGCATCCGCTCAGCATTGTGTCCTGCTCTGAGGTAGACCCAGAACAGGACGCTGTTATTCTGCGGAGGCCACTTTTTTAAAAGAGCGTCACATTGGACGCCATAAACATTGGCATTTTTATTTTAAAATTATATAAACTTATAAAAAAATATTATCAGTAGATAGTTCAACAACTTAAATGAAACTACTAGGTAGCCATCGATTTTATTAGTCCGACGAACAAAAACATTAAAATACCATCACACTATTGCAGGCCACCGTGCCACATATTAATATGAAAACTAAAAATCTATACTCGCCTCCGTAGTTTGTTTATGAAACCTCTTTGTATTATTATTACAAACGATGCTACTCGTAACACTTCCCCGGGTATCAGCTGCGAAAACAATATCCTAAGAGGATTTAATTAATGATTGCAAATAAAACAAGTAAAATTCAACGTTTTCGCCTCGCATGCGAATTATTTATGGGGCCGGGATGTATTTTAAATATTTCACCCGCATTAAAGTTGAAGCAACGAATTGAATTTCTAATGAAAGTGGTTACAATAATCCTCCACTTTGTAACCTCGCCGTACGTCGGCAAACATTTTCTCCCGTGACTTATCGGAATTTGAACAATACTGTGTGTTCTGCGGCTAGAAATAAGTTATATTACTCCTTTGTATGTTTAGGACGTGCCCAATAAGTAGACTCTTATAAAGGAGTTCAGTATTCTTTTTTCTACACGAATTCCCATTAGACTTCAAAGAGGATCGATTAACTTCGCGGGAACTAATGATTTACTTAACTTGTTACTTTGGTAACATGTTCTCTTTGAAATAATTTAATTCGTCAACCTTTAATGGGATAGCGAGAATCGAGATACTTTAAACAACTTTCTATTTGAAAATTAAATTGAAACAAGTCTTTAAGTTGAACTGAATGAATATGTTACTTGATATCAATGTGAGTCTTTGAATACTGAATTCAATAGAAATACTCTTACAATCCTTTAAAATAATGAAGTATTCGTTTGAAAGTGAACTCATTTCTTTTAAACTGTAGATAAAATCCCTTATTTGTTTTATATCCCAAATGTTTTTTCAATTCTGCAAAGCCCAAACGAAATTTTAACATTTACTACAAAGACGAAAAAATGCGAATGATGAATTACCTAAGGAGCTATTACGTCATCAGTCATGTGTGCTGTCGTCATTCGTGCCCATTTCCGTTTATTGGCGCTTAACAGCTATGGCAAATTCGTTCAAATTTCCACAAACGCGTCGCCCGCGCCTTGTTTTATTCATGAGCTCTGATAGGAGTCGCGCGGTGAAGTGACGCTACAGCGCATGGAATACAGCCGACTCGGCTCACATTGTACCACTAGGTTACTATAAATATATATTAATTGGATTATTTATTATAGACTCGGAAAATTCTGGATGCAGTTAAAACAGGCACACACTATATTTAATTGTTCCCAGTTTCGTTACAATGTTAGCCATCATCAGAATTTTTCCGGAAAATCATGTCGGTTTGAATGTAGGTACTAAAAAGTATTTCGGAATATATCGGCCCAATGAGCTAAGTCAGGAAGTTTTAGAGACCCCTTACGTCTGATACCTAGGTTGTGACTTCGCATGAATAACATAAATAATCAACCAACTTTCTCTATTAGATTATTTCTTATTAAATGTTAATGTGACCAGTAACTTACAATACTTTAACCACAAAATAGCATTGTGTAGCTTATTTGTTAGTACAAAATGTCCCCAGGCAAAAGGAACAAACCTTCACTGTCTCACGCAGCGAAGCATGATGTTCGCCATACATTTATTATAAGTACATGTTCGATATCTCCGCACACCCCACCGCAAATTTCCGCTCAGAGCGGCAAGCTCATAGCTGAGCGGATACGACTGTTCTGTTGTTCGCCCTATGCTGTGGCGCTGCTAAGTTAGTTCGCCTTTCATAGCGGGATTGATGCTGTAATATCCACCCTCTGGTGCACGATGGACTCGTATTGCTATTCATGAGATTCTGAAGGCGCAGTCACGTCGGCTAAATTTAGATACGTTCACAAATCTATCAATCAATTTCTCTAACGATATTTCATGACTGGATAATGACTACTTTAGGACTTTTGCAATAATGATAGCCTACTATACGACGTTGCCGATGCTACGGTCTCATAATCTTATAATTAAATTTAAAATTAGAAAGTTATCAAAAAGTTTTTAGACCATTAATTAAAATAAAAAGGTTTTTCTATACTCTATGTATAAGAACCTTTTTAGTAAAATGAACACTTTCAGCGTACGAGCGAAGCAAAGTTTACTCAAACTCTCGCATGCTAAAGTAATGAACAAAAGAGCTATTACGGTGGAAGATTGTACATAACAGATATCTGTTAATTAATTGATTACTTTTTAAACAAGTGAAGGGTAATAGCGTTAAAAATATACGTTTAGTAAAATGTGCCTAGAGTGCGCGGGGCGTAATTTTTGTATTAGATCCGGAGCAACCTGCGCTGTGCTGTCTCAAAGCTCGGTAAAATACTCAAAAGTAATGAATGACTAAAGGACTAATAAATATGAACATCAGGCCTCTTCAACCTATCTGCACATGGGTAGAGGTAGTAAATCCTCTTTTTGCCGAGCATTGTACTCAAGCAATGGATAGTAAATAAATAACCTGATGATATTAAATAATGATGATAAAATGAATGTATTAAATACTAGTGTTGTTATCCAGGCCCGCGGCTACCTGGAGTCGCTGCCGTTCAAGCCGCGCGTGCCTTGGGCGGAGCTGTTCCCCGGGGCAGACGCGCGGGCGCTTGACCTGCTGCATCGCATGCTGACCTTCAACCCGCACAAGCGCATCACCGTGGAGGAGGCGCTCGCGCATCCCTACCTCGAGCAGTACTACGACCCCAACGACGAGGTGAGTTAATAAAGAATAACATAACGAATTATAGCCACGATAGCCGAACGGTGAAGGAGTCGGACTGGCCGACTCGTGATTCGGGGAACGCGGGTTCGGTCCCCGCCACCGCTCGACTATTTGTGGTGAGTTTACTCGTGATACAAGCATAATATTTAGCTTAGTACGAGGGGCTAATGGGACTATTAGTAATTTGTGTAATAACAAATTATTATTAATGTTTGTTAAAAAAAGGATCTGTGCTTTTTCTGTCACTTTCAGCCCCTGATGTAAGTACTCACTTCAAACCTCGTAAATCCTGCAGACCATCCCAGCATTTTCGTTTCATTTGTGTGTAATTGTGTATGTTTCAAAATAATATTTCAGGATAAACACCATTATAATATTCTATTGTTTGTGTCATCCATACTTCCCCGCACAAAAACCCTTTTTAAAATGTTTTCTACATTTTACCTCTATTACACCTTGATGTAAAAAGAATTCTTTTATTTTAAACAAGAGCTGCTGTGCCTCCAACGAAACCAATGTAACATTAGTGACACTGACAGATTCAATTTCGTACGCTTTGTTACGTCTTTTTTGTACCCGTCTGTGTTATGGAGACTGACTGATCCACCTTTTGTATTCTTTAAAATATAAACCTAGCCCATTTAATACTTACCTTTATTTTAACAATGATGTTTAGAATGTCTTTTTTTTAATCATTAGAGGTAGATAATACAATCTAGGAATTAAGCTTTTTTTTTTCATTTGTGTAAACAAAATGACGGAGGTAGTGTCGTTGGAATGGAACTAAGTAAGCCGTATTATCTGGGATTTGGATCTTCAGACACAGTGCAATAAGCGAAATTCAGAATCCTCAAATACGAGTACATTTTGGGAATTCGGTTAAGATTCTGTGTACAGATATTTTGTTATGAAACTGAAATTGTATCTACTGAATTTCGTTGAATATTCTATCAACACAAATGGAATGGAAAATATATCAATACATTGTTTTTGTATCATACATTTGATGCGAGCGGCGCAGGACCGGTCTTTTGTGGAAATCCTTATCCTTGGGGGAGGCCTTTGTCCAGTAGTGGACGTCTTTCGGCTGAAACGAACGAACATTGTTGTATTGAATGTAATGATCCAATGTTCTGCGTTTTATTACGCAGAACTGATATTTTGTTTTATGCTATAGCTATTAATTAATTAAATCTCGTGCACACTATCTGCCGGTTTTAATCAACTCGATTAGTAATCAACAGAAAACAACTAGCTTAATCAATTCTACCAAACAACCAAAAGCTGTGTAAAGGATGGCCTATCTCCGCCGATTGGGTAGGAGATTATGGCGCCTACAGCGTTCGGCCCGATTGATTGTGAAGCCACGACACAAGTGGAATCTGAGGACCGCCATTGTTCTGGTATTTTATCAATACTCGCATTATTTCAATGAGAAAGTCTTCACTTGAATCAAGAGTCAAATACCGTCTTCATATTTGAAAGGATTTTCGATTTGTCACTTACCCTTACGTTGTACCTCTACTCGTAGGTTTTGATGAGGTTACCGACCTTGCTTCATTAAGTATTGGTGTCAAATCACCTCTTTATCAATGTCGATCAAAATTTAAGCCAGTTCACATGTTTTAGGGTCCATTTGTCGCTGTCGGTCTTGCTGGCATCTTGCATGGTCATCCATCCCATTTAGACACATTCGAAACTTCTAATAAACTTGAAAGTGTCCCTCTGGTGATTTGCTTTCCGCCTCGTACCAGACAGAGGCACTTTATACCGCGTCCTGAAATAATTCCTTGATGATTTTATTTACATTTGTCACGTAACATGCATATGCATGCCACTTTTCCATTTTCCTCGCTGATACAATAGCGAGAATCAAATTAGCGTGATTAGCAGCAACTGCTTATTATGCCTGTCATTAGGTGTGATTATATGTTTTCACTTATATACTGGTAATTAATAAGACTAGTGTAAGTACTTTTTTATAAATGATATTGCTGTTGGGAATCGATTTCAATCGTTAAACTAATGGAATATCTTTACCGCGCAATTCTAAAATGTTACAACCTTTAATAAAAATATGCAAATGGTTGCTAAACAATTAAACATGCATTACTCAACATTGTTATGAGCCGTATTATCATATCAAATTTATATTTGGATGTGTTACATTGCTAATGAATAATAAGTGGTATTGTTTAGTACTTTGGTGTGAAGCTAGCTCCTTACGGTAAGCGTGGCGACTACGTCATCGATGGATCGGATCTTGATGAAACGCCATAATTTTCCTCCTAAGCTCAAACATTAAGACAAATGGATGTTGTTTATTATACGTAATCCATTCAACATGCTTTTAACTCGGGTCTAAGCGATTCTGGTCACTAATAAGATTTTTGGGGAACTTGTTAATCTCATTTTAGGCATTTAATTAAAATCCTGGATTGCGTACTTTGCACTTCGCCGGCTTAACAGGGGAAAATGGGTCGCCTTAAACATCAAAGCGTGACTTTCCTGTTTGGTATATTAACCTTAACTTGTTACAAAAACCGTGTACCTATGTTAACACGATCAAATGAATCTGTACTTCTTAGATACATTGTACGATGCTTATTATGAGACAAGTTTTTTTTGTTCCTCTGTTGGTGCAATTGATTGAACACAACAGATGTTCGAGAATATGCACAATTAAAGACGCGTTGCTTCGAGCTGGTGCTCATCGCATAAATTATCTTGTCACAACCAATTATAATGTTTTGTTTGAATATTCACGCTACATGCATGATGTTATTGCTGGCACTTCGGAAAACGCTTCTGGAACTACTTTAGTGTTTGTTATGTGTAGGATATAAAATGAAATTGCACTTCATAATGTATTTTGCACTTGCGAGTAAGTCGAAAAGCTATAAGAATATTGATATTAACCAAACGCGGTTTGAAGTCAGGATGAGTATAAAAAAAATCAATTTATAGTCTCCACCAAAATATATTACGTAGCTCACTAAAAATAAATGCATAACCGTTTTAAATTACGTACGAGTAAACGTTAATATATTAACCGGGACTCGACTGGGGAATCAAATAATGAGGCACGCGGGCTGGGCATAGAAACGGCGCCCTCCAACAATTGGCCCCTAATACGTTTAGTAAACAATTCCCACACCGAACCGTATTATTAGACTTCGCACCCATTTTTGTGCCTAGTAATTCGCTAGTTCAAACTAAATTCTACCTTTGAAATAATAGAAGCAAACGATCCATCTTCACGTTCAATCTACTACAACAAGGCTAATTTCAGTTTAATATTATCTCGTCCTAGAATCCTCTACGTTCATGTTCATATTTTATTATCATTTTCGCAAAGTAACACGTTTAATCAAATCAACCGAGCGATGAATAAAAACTTCCAAAATAAATCTTGAGCTTTTATACAATTTAAAAGGACAATTTCGCAATAAAATATGTTTCCTATTCACATTCGTTCGCTCATTCAACATAAATGAAACGTAATTTCACCGAATTGCTTTGTATTCATGAATATAATTTCGAATTTACATTGATTTCATGGTCGTTAACTGCCAATGTTTATGTAGGACCGCCTGAAAGAAAAGAGAGTAATGTTAATGTGGGGGAACAATTGAGTTTTGGTGAAAGAATTATGTCGTTCATGCGGTGCGTTTGTTCACAGCCAGTGGCGGAGGAGCCCTTCAGGTTCGCGATGGAGCTGGACGACCTGCCCAAGGAGACGCTCAAGAAGTACATCTTCGAGGAGACGCTACTGTACAAGCAAACAAACGAAGGCGCGTAAGCGGCGACACAGCGCAAGGACCAAGGTCAGGCGTAGTCTGCATGCAAACTCCACGTTTTGTTTTCTTCTGTTCAATGGTTGACAGACGGTAACAACGTTCCTGAGATATTGCATTGATGACATCACTTTTTGGGTTTTATCTTGCTTATCAAATACGCCGTGAGTAATTCAACAGTATTCCGCTAAGCATACGATTCAAATAACAAGCTATCTGAAGGAAATATAAAGAGGAAAACCGTAGTGTTTGCATGCAGATAAGCTGGGCCGCACGGAGTGGACTGTCATGGCGGCGTCACGTCGCATGTGGTCGGTTAACCAAAGCGTATAGTTAACCATGATGTTGTATTTTCTCTAAGTATTCGACGTTTTGGACTTGTCAGTTTAATAAGATATTTTTGCTATAACGCTGCTGTTGGTTTTTTAACGGAATCAATTAAGATGCCATTCGTTGATATCGAACCGTGAAGTTGTGAACGTAGTCTACTTTTTCGTTAGCGCTGGAACACGGCCCGGCCGCCAAGCAAGGCAGGCGGTTATTACCGGGATCGATACAGATTTCTTTAGCGTGACGCTGACGGCATAATGACGATGCAATGTTACTCTCAAAAGGCTGCTAAACTAGAGCACTCAGCCGTAGCATAACAAATGCCCGTTTTATGTACGAAGTTCGGAAAAGATAACATTTAGATTAACTTTGTAACTTAGCAATTTTGATTAGCGTTTCGTTGTCGGAGAGGTATCATAAAACATATGACTGGGTCAAAATGTAGTGTAAACAGTATATTATAAAACTTAGACAACTCGTAGGATCATAGATAGGACTTTTCTGAAATTTATAAACGTTAAACATACCTAGTCGTATAATTTCTAAATGAGGTGAATGATGAAGTGTTTGTCGAAAGTTGGGGATGCTGTTGCATGGGTGTTTTACAGTATTACGAGAATCGATTTCACATTCGTTACTGATACGATTCAGATCTCGTTTAGCAATTAATCGGAGTGAGGTCTCGCATCGATTGGCAACGTCAGAAACGAAATAAGACAACATTCGATGTTTTGCGAATTTCAATACAACTATATTACTATGTGGACTAATTGCTGTAGAGTAAAACATGTTGATATTTTATAAATGTATGTTCAAGTAAAGGAAACCGTAAACATCTAATATTGTTCCACATTATATTGTTGTTGAAATGATTCACAGCTTACAATCGGAAATTAGGGAAGTAGAAAAATATGGACCTATATTTGGAATATTTTGACATTTTAGATTACTATATTTTTTTAGTGTATGAGATAGTAAGTAGTTCCTAGCGTCGTGTGGGTATCTCGCGGGGCACACGGCATAGGTTTAGCTGAACCGTAAGGTTTGTAACTGTCTATTTTGCTTATATCGGAAATGAAAAACAATTCTATAAACATAATTATACGGTTGTAGGATATTATGATAGTTTTGGATCATTTCAATGACATCGAATTTTGGCACGCCTGATGTCCTGGGACCTAGTACCCTCGTATCGTGTCAACAGAAAATACAAAGTTGAAGGCAGGCATGAAAATTAAAGTTAGCGGAGGACGGATGATGATGTAAATATTTTTACATTTCGAATTAATGTATTTTGAAGTGTCACAGAATAATAACTTCGAGCACATACATACACTTTATTCATTAATTCTGATGTGATTTTAATAAGGTTTAATATTGTATTTCTCGTCGAAGCGGCGGCCCTCGTTGAAAAACTTGCGTGCTTCAATTGTTTCTATGATAATGATTAATAATTCTCGTCTTCCTTGTATTTGATGTTGCGCACAACGTTTATAGCGTAGTTAATTCTTCATATCAGATATTTTAAAGAGACGTTGTTAGGGTATTATGAAATTTAGTTGGTGATTGTGCGGTTAAATGGGACAAGTTTTTCAACGGATGGTCCACAGGTGATGATGATGAGGGTTCCATCTGTTGCGGTGCGTCTAGAAGACCCTGCCGATTGGTGGGTCACGATCAATTTTGCGGACGACGGTCTATCTACACTAAGACTCGTTAAATAGTTGTTTGTTAAAATATTTAAGAAGCATGTTAGCTATACTTCAACTGAAAACAAGTTGCGCTAAAACAGGATTCATAAGATTCGATCATAGAGAATGATAATATTTTGAATGTAAATTTTAAGAATAAAGTAAATAAACTTTCAGAAATCTGTTGTCGTTGTAACGTTAGGTACCTACTCGTCTTCGTAAAACTTAAGTGAGTTCAAAATGTGTTCTAACTTTTAAAAATTGCTGATTTGCACATGGCTCGTAATAGGTATGGTGACACCAATTGCAATTAATTCAAGCATATTTAAATGAAATGCAATGCTAACGATAACTAGCGCTTAATTCAACATCAAAATATATGCCTCAATGTTTACCTTGTTGAGCCTACCTACACCCACGTCAGTTAATTGATGGTGTCAACATGCCTGTTCGTTACTCATTAATTGGTAAATACATTAGATTATATTGTATTGTATAATTCACAAAGTACCATTTTGCTGTTATCAGATCATGTGGAATCAGCATTTAATTCAATAAATTTACGGATAGTAATGAAGCAAAGCGTTCAAGTATTATCTTGATTCCGCCAATCAGACAATGAAATTTGCCTATTTCTATATGTACAGTTGTCAGTGTTATTACTTCGTCATGATATATCATCGCTTAGAGAAAGGGTGTAATTTAAATTTCGATAATATTTTAGAAATAAATCGCTGGTTGAGCATTTGAAGTCGTGAGAAGACAGTTTCGTTTATATTTTTACAATTCGAATAAAGTGCAATAGTTTTTGGCAGTCGACGGCGAACGTGCGTGGCGGTGGGGCGGTGGCAATAAAAAAGATCATTTCGCAGATTTCATAGTCGGAATAAATTTCCTGGCAAATTGCTCGCAATAATCCCGCAAACACGCGTCCTATTTTTATTATTTCCTCCGTGCTAAGCTCGGGGAAGGGATTTAAAAGGTACATAGAGGACGCATATGCAATATTCTTAATGGTTAATATTTTCTAATTTTCTTTGCATAGAAATGCACTGTTATTTTAAATTTTGATTTATTAAGACCACGGTCCCACCGGGCTCTACTTTAGGACTAAGAATAATAAATTAGTGCTCTCCAATTCTGCCGGCTATCTTATTAATAATAGGTATCCCGAACGATAGTTTTACAGTATTAGGTTTTGTTTTATATTTGCGGGAAAGTACTTGCGCTCATATTTTATTGGTTTAATAGTAAGATCTTTCATTTTCATTTTTTTTTTTCGCCTTGTATACGGCTGATTTGGAGACTGCTCTTATAATATATTTCTTCCATTGTGTCTACTATGTAATATTTACAGCGAAAATAATTTTAATAACAACCTCAAAAACATCAATTTACCATCACGTATTTATTGTTAAAATATGAGTGTTGCCATATTTTCTTAAGTCATCATGTACAAATTGGATATTATAAGATCATTTGTTATCTGTCAACAGTTGAATATTATGAAAATAAAATCAAATCAAAAGATCTCTTTGTTTTATTTAATCTCTTCAAAACAATCCATACTTACTCGTATAATGTTAGAAATTATTTTTGAACATCGGTAGACAATAGTCATTCGTAGGCGACGACTAGCAACTGAAAAGGAGCTTATAAATAACGTTTTGTTGGCGACTTATTGCCTGTAAAATCCTCTTTCTCATCCCTTAAAGCTGACTCTGAACTGAAACACTTAAAAGGAAATATTTTCAACATAGTAAATGGCTTTAGAAAAATCATATTTCAGCGTTGAAACTTTTTGCTGAACATTGAATAATTGCTTAGTTTCTCTTCTAACCTATACAAATCGTCATAATATATGAAATAATAACTTACTTACTTATCACGCTCCTGTAGCACAAACCTCCATCATCACTGGGATTAGTAGTTAATTAGTTGGTTAACACATGCATCACTAGTTATACTGAAATGGTTAAACCCTGCCCAAATCCTACACGCGCTGAAACCGCCATTTACCGATTGCCCTACAACATCACAGCGGATTAAAGATTTAATTTTAACCAATCCGATTTGATGCGTCTTTGTTTTGGATTAATTCTTTCTGTACTCGTATGTACAGTCGACAGAATATCAGACCATATTTTTGTTGCAAAATGAAACCTATTACAACTGTGTTAGATGGATAGATAGATAAAACGTTTATTTGAATAACAGAAACACACATTACAAACAGAAAGTACCAACAGTAGGATAAAATAGTACCCTCAGGACAATATGACATGGTATGGTAAGACAGAAATAAAAAGAAAAAATCATTATGACATACAATATAGGTACACACTTTATACAGAAATGTGTGTCGCAGCAATGCAAAACGGCAATAGCTCAGTAATTGGTTTACTTAAAAGCAAACCACTGATTTTCAACTATAGCCTAAGGACGAAAGAACGCTCGTAACACGTCAACGTGACGGTTGGGATGTGGTGAGTTTAAGTACATAAATATAACTAAATAGATTAAGATATTTATGATAAAGGAGAAAGGAAAAGAAAATACACTGATAAAAACAAAATTAAAATAAGAATTATGCCAGGGTTCAACAAAACAACCACGCATGAAACCACTGGACCAGATCAGAAACCACTACCAAGGCGCAATCAGGTTACAGGTTTTTGCGACTCCAATAACGCAGATTTATTGGAGTCCCTGTGTCAGTCACTGTGTTAGATACCAGTGTGCAATTAAAAAAGATCAGGGAAGACAAGGTTTGGAAAGGTACAATTATTATGCAGGAAATTAAAATGGCGATGGACAGGACATATGTTAAGAGTAAAGAAAGAGAAGTGAACCAGAAAAATAACGGAATGGTACCCTAGAGAAAGCAGAAGAAGTAGCGGAAGATAACCAAAGCGATGGGAAGACAATTTGAAGCAAGTAGCTGGGCCAGAATAGTTAAGTACCTACCTAGATACAACAAAAGACAGAAACAAATGGAAATCCTTAGAGGAGGCCTTTGTCGAAAGACAAGCTGTTAAGAGGAGAGATAAGCCAAATGCCGAGAATATTATGTTAGTTTAATGCCCGTTTTCACTATCAATCCCTAATTTTTAAGTGACCCCTATGAAATCAAAATTAGAGATTAATGGTGAAAATTGGCGTAAGTTCATTTTTCTTATTTACTTTTTTATTTTATTGTATTTTTAAGATGCCAGTTTTTTAGCTTGATGTGCCTGTCTGTACTTACATTGTGCATTATTGGAGATGGAAACGGTGTACGTATTTGAGAGAAGCACGTATTTGCTACTGATTGTTTCAATAATTGAAATCGACGTTCAAGCTTTCCAGGCTAAAACATTTTACAGTGCTAT